TGGACATGGTATTTTCATTTATTCAAATTTTGAAAATATTTTCGGCATACAGTAGTAGCAAAGTCTCACGTACACCAATCCAGTAATTTTGCGAGATGATCCTTCACAGGGTGCTTAAATTTACATTTTGAATATTGTAAGATTCAGACGACGTTCATTAGGTTCATTCATACATAGATCATTCAGGTATTTTTGCGATATGTGCATTGTCCAAATATTGAATATTCCGTGATCTTGTTACTTATGATTGGAATTATATGTACCTATGTGAAACAAACAAACATGTCAAGAGCAACGTCTGCCCCTGAAAAAGTGATCTGAAGGCTTTCAGAATAGTGGTCTGAAGGCTTGCTCGAACAGATGAACCTAATTCAAAGAGTTTCTATGTTAAGCACATTCTTTAGTTTCCCAAAAAACCCACTGAAGCACAATAATTATACACTGGAAAATTAAAGAATACCTGAAATTCTCACAGACACATGGATTATAAATTGAATATCTGGGCCCATCATCTTTAGTGGCGCAAAAATCTTTGAAATTTGTTTTTTATCATTTCAATCGCTTGGAGCGCACGGAAGGGAATCCCTATAATGTTCAAAGAACATCGTGCATTCCTAGGGAGGATAAGGATAGGAGGTAGGTAAGTAATTCGAGATATATTTGATTTTGGCGATGTTTGACAGGTCATTACACAAATAATAATAATTAATAATAATAATAATAATAATAATAATAATGAGACTTCATTCAGTCACACAATAGTATATAAGACATGAATACATATATCTCAAAAAACAAAAGAAACAAAAAATATGTTACTGAATGGGTGAAGTGTCACTGTAGTGTTTTACAACTTAACCCTGGAAATATAATTAACGTTAAATTATGGGTAAAATATTTGATAAATGATGGAATAATATAAATTTTATCAAAGGAATTTCAATAAATAAATCGATGATTATAAGGGTCAGTATATCAGTATATGAACCTCCATCATAAACCACAGACATGGCCGCGTAATTGTACATATTTGCCTACATGTTTGATAAAAGGTGATCTTTCGTTTTCTTCTTGGGATTAATTATAGTATAATTGGCGAACTCTGGAGGAAGGGAGTTATAAAGCGTGCAAGCCACGTAGGAGAAGCTATGCTTGAAGATGGTAGTAGAGTGGTTAGGAATGACTAATAGGCGCCTGTTACGTGTCTGAAAATTATTCATATTTTCGAACCGTTTCAGTTTATCCTTCAAATAAGAAGGTTTTTCTGGTGATTAAAATCTTATGGGTGAATGTTAAGAAGTGCAGTTCACGTAACAAAGAGTTTTTTGGTATCTAGATATGCCTGGCTAATCGGATCGAACATACGAATTCCCATAGAAAACCTCATACATGAGTTTTGTATTCTTTGTGAACGCTTCTGATCTGTAATTAGAAGAGCGGGGCCATAAATGCAGTCGCAGTATGAGAGTTTAGACATAATCAGTGATTCACATAAATGTAATTTCAGCTCATTGCTAAGAATATTTCTTTGCGGGTATGAATTCCTCAGAGTATTATAAGATATTTCACTGAGATGATTGACATGTTTTGTATATCTCATATCGCTGTCTAGCCATAACCCTAAATTTCTGCATTCCTCTACAACTGGCAATGCATCACCTGCAACTTGTATATTATTTAGTTGCTCGAAGACTGATCGTTTGTGTTTTTGACCAAATACCAAGAGCTTTGCTGGCGTTCAGTTTGAAGTTGTGCGCGGATGAAACATTATACAAAATCGCCAGATCAGCGTTGATATGATTCATAGCAAGGTAAAGGTCTTCTATTTGAAAACTAAGGTACAGGGTGGCCAACTAAGACTCCAGAGTTCGATTTCTCTGTTGTCTTGAGAGATACAAACAAAATTCATGGATCAAAATTGCAGTAATAACCGAGCTTCACATTTCAAAATTTTTTTGAAATACACAGGGTGTTCCGTAAGGTCACAGCACATCAAAGCTATGTTTTTTTCATTGGAACACCCTATATTTTATTTCATTTTTGAATTCTCCCTGAAGATCTGATTTCAACGACCCATCATACTTAGGGTCTGGCAGTGCTAGTTACTGACATATGGAGTGTGAAAAATCGAGATTTTCCAAGTTCAGAATTTTTTTCTGTCGAAAGTGTTCATTATTCGTCAAAACGGTTTACATGTCCCTATCTCAACTTCTCACTCACTATCAATTGGTTTTCAACTGACATTTAATTGAAACAAATTATAAATTAAGATTTTTTGACCACCTTGTATCGATTTCAATTAAACACCAATTGATAGTGAGTGAAAAGTTGAGATAGGGACATGTTAACCGTTTTGACGAATAATGAACAGTTTCGACAGAAAAAAATTCTGAACTTGGAAAATATCGATTTTGCACACCCTATATATCAGTAACTTTCACTGCTAGACCCTAAGTATGATGGAATGTTGAAATCAGATCTTCAGAGAGAATTTAAAAATGAAATAAAATATAGGGTGTTCCAATGAAAAAAACATAGCTTTGATGTGCTGTGACCTTACGGAACACTCTGTGTATTTCAAAAAATTTTGAAATGTGAAGCTCGATTATTTCTTTAATTTTGATACATGAATTTTTTTTGTATCTCTCAAGACAACAGAGAAATCGAACTCTGGAGTCTTAGTTGGCCACCCTGTACAGCTGTGTGTCGTCCGCATACTGATGTACTTGGCAGAATTTCATAAATTCGTTAAAGTCTGGAATGTAAATAGAGAACAATAGTGGACTAAGAATTGAACCCTGTGGTACACCAAGAGTTCGCAGTTTCACTTCGGAAGTCTGGTTATCAACTACAACATACTGCGATCAATTTCTCAAATAATTGGCAATTGATTTGACAGACCTAGGTCCAAACCCAAAGCATCTGAGTTTCAGTTCCAGTACAAGGGAGTCCAGAGTGTCAAAAGCCTTGCTGTAATCCAATAAAACTAAACATGTCACTTCGTTTTCATCAGTACTGATCAGTATATCATCCGTGATACAGGCTAAAGCAGAAGTTGTACTGTGATGCTGCCGGAACCCCGATTGTGAAACAGGAATGATATTTTTTGTTAATACATAGTCAGGAATTTGTTTTTTTATCACCATTTCCAAGATTTTCGAAGGCATGGAAAGAATACTGATAGGCCTCAAGTCAGAGTATGACGAGGACTTAGGTGGCAGTTTTCCACGCCTCCGGAAACAAACCTGACATCAAGGCTGTATTAATTATATGGGTTAAATACTCAACCAAATGAAAACTCACGAGAACGAACATTCTTTTCGTTATATTGTCGCAACCCATAGCCTGAGATTTGATAAAATTCATATAGTCTATAACTTCTTTATCTGTAGTAGATGAGAATTCAGACATTTCGCCTGGCGGAATGGTGGCGTATTCATCCAGTAATCGATATTGATCCTCAGTCTTATCAATGTTAGGTAGGCTGACGAAATGTAAATTCATATCGTGAGCTTTTCTCAATTCAGGCGGTATTGAGAATGAGAATTGTTCTCATTCACAATTTTCAAGGATCTGAGCCGATTCCAGGTCAATTTGCTATCGTTTTGGCGTATCGCGAATTCAACATACGCTTTTTTTTTCTGAGAATTGCGGCTGTGACGTAATTCCTCAATTCTTTATAATAGTTCCAGTGAGCGATGTCATGACTTTTTTTGATCAATAGAAGGGTATTTCAAAAGATGAATTCATAGACTGCAAAATATCTGTGAAAGAAGCTTTTTGAATCAACTAGTCAAACTCACTCTGTTTTGAATTCAAACTTGGAGAGTCTGTTAATGTTCCTATTGTAAAAACTATATGGATGGTCAATGGAGGGATTTGATCATACTGTAGCAACGCAATATTTCCACAACACAAATAAATGAAAAAATTATGACGTACAAATTACCCCGAAATAGTAGTAAAAATAAGAAAATTATTCATAACTCGACAACGCCGCAACCGATTTCGATTTTTTCTTTAGCGATAAAAAGGTAAAAGATGTTGGAATGAATTTGTGAATTGAAATACAGTACCATTTGAAAATTTCTAATGAATATCATCTGAATCTTGCAAAATTCTAAATGCAAAATTGAGCACCCTGTTGAAGAACATGTCGCAAAATTACTGGATTGGTATATGTGGGACCTTGCTACTACTGTATGCTGGAATTTTTTTCAAAATTTGGATAAATGAAAATACCATGCCCAATTTGACATGACTCCTCAAAAGTAGTAATGATTGGTTTATCAAATATAACTTCGCAACGCCGCAACAAAATTCAATTTTTTTTTCACAGCAATGTGAAGGTAATCCTTGACGAAATGAATTCCGAATAAAAAATACTGGGTGTTCCATTTGAAAAAACTCGTCTCCGAGTCGTCCCGGTTTCATGAAACACCCAGTAATGCTGAAAATATCTTTGAAATGAGCAACTTCACTAAAAGAAAAAGTTTTTCCTTCTAAGTTTTTCTCTATATGTTATGACTTTCGAGATATCAAAGAATTACACACTAAATGGACACACTGTATAACTTTCAGACGGTTGTCATAATATGATATCAATAATATTCATACAACTGGATCAACTCATACTGTTCCTTAAAATATGCAAACTGTTTTCCAGTGATTATGATTCATACAGGATGGGACGAGTATTCTCTGTTTTATGAAGGATGTTTTGACAGATGTGACGAATAAGACATTATCCTTTCAACGTTTGACACCTCTATTCTAATTCTACCAAATCGTAAACGTTATTTAGATCAATATCTTGTTCAGTCCTTGCTTGATGATGGATGAGGATGATCACAAAACGAATTGCGATAAACATTCTCTGTATAGGAAGTACTAACATTTGAAACGCTTAGTCTATTAGCCCTATCTATCATACACGATATGACCTCCTCACACATGTACATTGCATGTGCATGTGCATCCGAATCATACCCATTTGCAATGATATAAGACTATATCTTCCTATTCATCACTCACAATCCACTTCACAGGGTGCTGATGATTTGATTGTTAAGCTGAACCAACCACCAAGTTTGATACGGGGTCATACTTTGAAGAGCAACAATGGAAACACATACTACGCCTTTCAAGATATTCCCTATGGTGAGCCTCCAGTGGGAGAAAAAAGATTTCAGGTGAGTTCTTGATAGTATTGTACGGCGTATTTCTTCCACCGTATATTTACCAATGAATAAGTTCTGATCCGAGAAGCAAAATTGCTTATCAATTTATCGTAGAAATGAACAAAACCATGATCAATCGTTTCAATTTCAACAGTTCAAGGTATACAATCATAGTTGTATTCACTATTTCAGAGAGATATGAAATGTCACTTGGTTCATATCCTTGATAACCAAGTTGTCAACTCATGAGTTAGGAGAGAGGCTCATGCAATCATCAATTCGAGATACAGAGTCAGTTGGATTAGGTCATTTCATGTATGCTTATTTTCCAAAATGCACTTGTCAATTTAATGACTGAAAAAATTCTCTCATCCATTTTCACCTTGCAATTCATAAAATCGAACATTTAAAGAATCCAAATGAGTGTATACAGGGTTCACCATCCAGAGTGAAATTGATCAAACAACTCATTACACGTTCATGCCCATAACAATCGCTCCTCCAAGCAATAAGACTCCTCAAAGAAGGAATGTCAATAGGATACCTACCTTTTAGCGAGTATATCTGCTTGTCAGAACTATGTTCATTCGATTAAATTGGAACAATCAGGCCTATTTCAATAAATCACAGATACAGAGTTCTGCCAGAAATACAATGAAAATATATAGATATATGAACTATGGGGATCAATAAGGATGTATAACTGAGTTCTGTAGCGTATAAGTACGTTATTTTGGGCACATGATCTCCTTGAAAGGTTTGATAATATTCGATGAGTATAGGTAATTTATAAGCGTATACGAATATGGAGTATGAGAGTTCGTATCAGGAACTAGTGGTTTCAGGAGACTTTGAGTATCAATGAGATATTCCACTTTCAATTCAAGGAGTATTATATGTATATTCATAAGCCTCAGCAGATATGAGAAATGTGCGAGAATTCACAAAGGATAAAATAGAATATCGAAGGCACTGTCTGAAGCACTAGAACTAGTAAGAGATTATTAGACATAGCCATCAGGAAGAGTTAGCCGCAGACTCGTGTTTCGAGATCCTGGTTCTCATCAGTACGGTGGAAAAAGTGCAAAAGATAGGCAACACTTAGTGGAAGACGAAACAACGAATCCACGTCGTCAACAAACAGAAGCCATTCCCAGGGCTACAACTTACGTCAACACGAAGGCAGCTATAGCTATTTGCGTGACATCCGTGTCGAGGAGTAGAATTGAAATAAACGAAATATTAAGAAAACTATTTGAAGCAAACTAGGAAAATATTATAACACATAACCCTCAGGAAGAGTCACCGCAGACACGTGTTTCGGGCTTTCGGCCTTCATCAGTACGGTGGAAGGGGGCTGAAAAATTGGCAATACTTGGTGGAAGACGTGCCAACAAATTCTTGGAAGCAACAAACAGAACCCAGCTTTTGGCTCTGGTACGAAACAGCGCTGGACGAAACAGCGCTGTTCAAAACAGCGCGGTCAGAACAGCGCTCGGTCAGAACCGCGCTGGACGAAACAGCGCTGGAAGAAACAGCGCTCGGTCAAAACAGCGCTGGACGAAACGGCGTTCGTCACGTCAATAACAAATATCATTCTGTCATTGATTATTGCAACCATTGTCATTACGGATGAGAAATGGAATTCCTGAAATCTCAAAAAGGAAAAGATTTGGTTGTTTTCGAAGGATATACTTATCGAAGAGATAAAATCAATGACACGTCAGAGACATGGCGTTGTGTCAAAGCTTCATGCAAAGGGAGACTGTATGTGAGTAATGGTAAGCCGAAACCAACAACGACACACAATCACGCACCGAGTCCATCCGAATCATAAAATACCAAAATGAAAGGAGCAATTCGGAGCATGGCGAAAGAAACGAATGAAAGGCCGAGGCATATTTCCCAAGCTGCTACTTGTGGAGTTTCATCAGAGGCTTCAGTCCTTCTGCCATCGTATGATGCCGCTAGAAAAATAGTGAGTCGACAACGAAATAAGGAAAATGCTACATCATCCTATTGTAATAGTGTCCATGATGTGACAATTGCGGATGCCTACAAAGTCACAGAAAAAGGAGAACACTTCCTTCTTTGGGATTCTGGCTCAGAAGAATCGAACAGAATCATAATGTTTGGAACACGGGGAAATCTGTCAGTTATGAATGAGCATAAGCATTGGTGTATGGATGGCACTTTCAAGGTTACTCCATTTTTTTTTTATCAAGTTTTTACTATTCATGTTCTCATCGATGAAAAGGCCGTTCCCGTCATATATTGTCTTATGTGCAACAAGCAAGAAGAATCTTACCGAAGAGTTTTTTCCAAGTTGACAGCCCTTGAACCAAATCTGAAACCGATCACGATCTTGGCTGATTTTGAACTTGCATCGATGAATGCAGCCGAAACAATATTTCAGGATGTGAAAATCATTGGATGTTCATTCCATCTCTCCCATAATATGTGGAGGAAAATTCAACATTTTCAATTGACTGAATTGTACAAAGCTAATGAATATTTCAGGCTCCAAATAACAATGATATGAGCTTTGAGTTATGTTCCGGAGAATGATATAGAGAGAGCTTTTGAGATCATAGTTGCCAATGCACCTGTGGAAATGGCTCCAATAATAGAATACTGGGAAAAAAATTATATAGGACGAAAAATTATGAAACAATTATCAAGATTTCCAATTTCGACTTGGAATATGTTTGATAGAGTGAAAAACAATTTACCCAGAACCAAAAATTCATTGGAAGCTTGGCATAACTCCTTCTTTCAAAAAAATGATCGATTGTCACCATCCTTCCATTGCTAAGTTTATGGATCATTTGAAGAGGGAGCAAAACCAAGCCGAAATTTTCATCAGCAGGTTCAAAAGTGGCTTCAGGCACGTTGTGAATCATAGCAATAAGTATTATCAATTGAATAAAAGGTTGAGAGTACTGGTTATGAATTACACATTTGACAACATTGAGGATTATGTGAAATCTGTTGCATTGAATATGAGTTTGTAATATAGAAATTGTTCTAACTTGGAGAATTGTCAATCAATGAGTATCTTGCTATGAAACGCCGTTTCGTCCAGCGCTGTTTTGACCGAGCGCTGTTTCTTCCAGCGCTGTTTCGTCCAGCGCGGTTCTGACCGAGCGCTGTTCTGACCACGCTGTTTTGACCAGCGCTGTTTCGTCCAGCGCTGTTTCGTACCAGAGCCCCAGCTTTCATGTTTAATTTCAGTGCTAACATCAACGTTCAGAGCTCGTATCTCAGCAATGTTACTTTGAAACCGAGTTAGAAACCAAAATACATCGTTATATTGAAATCGGTTGAAAACGTTGATAAATTGTTGATATGTATATATCAGTTGAATTCACATCACTTCTGCTACGTCTTAGTTACGATGAATCAACGTAAAGAGATAACGTTACTGTAGACCCAGAATGAAACGTATTGTCTAACGGCATTTTGCCGTTTTATCAACGATGATTAAAAGTGGCGATACTTGAAGAATTTGACGTTTGTCCCACGTAACTGTGTTGATTGGGTTGTTTCGATCAAGATAACGAATACAATTATTGTTATATAGTGTTGTATTTTGTTCCAGATAATTCCTTCGAATTATTTTGTTGTAGCAAATAGTTTTCGATTCTACAGTCATCATCAGTGGGTACCTAATAAAAAGGTAATCAGCTATGAGTGATTGGGAGGAGACATCAGACAAATCGAAAAAGTTGTCAAATTTCCAATACCTACCTCCTGTCCCTATCCTCCCTAGGAGAGCAAGATGTTCTTTGAACATTATAGGGTTTCCCTTTCGTGCGCTCCAAGCGATAAAAAAAAGTAGAAACGAGGTTACTCACTAGTCAGGTTGACAATAAAATTATCCATGGAACTATTATAAGTCCTGTTTGAAACATTATAGATGATCATGGTGAAACAGATTGAGATTCATTTCTCGACAATGAATGATATTCAACTTACATTTCTATACCACGAATATGACTGCGATATACTATCGTGTTGAAATGAATTCAATGAATTAATTATTTCAGATTTAGAATTTGCTCGTCCCGTTTCTGAAAGATAAAAATATGGATATCATTTGAATATACGTGTTGTGAGGACAAAACAGATTATATGCTCCAAAATGTCACTGCGTATGAAGAATCTTTTTATCAGAAAGCTTGAAAGAAAAATTCACTAGCTGGTCAGTGACAATTCGTATCAAAACAGGTCTGACGAAAAGAAATAGAGGCATATAAGAAAAATATCAAATCTTCACTTGGCTTTGGACGCTTTGGGAACAAATCTGCTTTCATTTTCAACATAAAAAATTGATATTTGTATAGCAAATTCATATTCGTCTCGACACTCCTCAACTCTCAGGAACAATTGGCGACGTTGGTGATCAGATGAGATAGGTACAGACTGTTTTCATTCTCAAATTCACCATTTTTATTCTCAGATTTCACTAGTGGATACCATATTTCATCTATATCAACTGAACAGGAAGCAATGCTATAGCCTCTGTTCAGAAAAAAACAAGCATATTCTTCGATTTTTTCGCTCTGGTTGGATGAAACCAAATCAGTATCATCTGATCAATACATTTTCGATAAGGAAGTTCATCACATTGGGAATGTTCTTCAATTCAACTCTCATTCGGAGAATTTCATCGATGAGATGATTCATCAAATTGAAAACAAACAGAGGCTACCACAACAAAATCAACCATTAGTAACGACTAATATATCTCCATACATTCCTGGCATAATCTGAAAATATAAAACGTGTTGGTAATGAATTCGGAGTGAAAACTGTGCTCAAAACTAATAATTCAATGAGATTCATTCCAACTCGAACGAAGCCCAAGAATGAGGAGCAGTCGTCAAAAAATGGTATTGAGAGTACACCTCGTGTTTGGGGAAAGTTTTATACAGGTGAAACCAAGAGATCTCTCTTAGTAAGGATGAAGGGACATGAGTACGATATAAAGAGATGACACATCGACAAAT